GGTTATTTTTTTGTCTCAACATAAAAAACTTAAGGGTACAGTCAAGACACCATTCAAAATGCTGGAAAGCTATCAAGTTGATCACTGCCAATGTAATAAACTGTATATAAAAATAATGATCAGTGTTATACACTTAAATCATGCATTTCTTTCATTTGCATTGACTAGAATTAAAAGTTAAAAACAAAAGACTGCTAAAAATTAMTTCTGTCGATATCTTTGGAGTGGCGCTTTTCATYAAGTTCAAATTTTCCACTATCAAAAAGGACACAAATGCACATGTGCACAGCAAAAARCACAACTAAGACTTGRTGCAAACAGAAGATATTGATMGTGTCTCAAATGTACTCAGTCTACCRTATAATGAAATGTGTTCATTCGTWACATGATGCTAGCTATCTGTACGTTGGACTTCATGGGAGTAATTTTTCAACATTTTGTTTTGCACTTGGTGCCCCGTAGGATTTATGGATATGTACGTATAAGGTTTGGAAATGTGATCCTGAATTTTACTGAACCTTTGGTCTACAGAGTTCARGATCCACTCAGTGACTACAATGAGCCCAAACCATCAGCCTCCACCACTYTGCTAGGAGGGGCTGATGGTGATGTTGTGTTTTGTTTACTGCAAACATGGAGCTGTGGATTCTGGGTAAATATCTGCACATGGTCTCATCGTTCCAGAAGTCTGTGGTTCATTCAGATGAAACTTTACAAACCAAAGCTGTTCAGCCATGTTTTTTTTTCTTTTTACATAGAAGAGATTTTCTCTTGCACCACTTGAGCCACTCAAATAAAAAATTTTCAACAAGCACCACTGTAGACCCCACCCAGATAAAGACAGGTTCTACAGAGCACTGAAAGAACCAGAGAGGTAGATAATCATGACACAGAAACTTGCCTTGATTAGCTCTAGTTTAATGGATTCACAATAAAATGACAATTAACTGAAAAAAAAAGGAATTTAAAAACAAGGATAAAGTCCACAGGATGTGCAAAGTTCACCTGCTGGTGTCTAAAATCTGAAGAGTGACAGCAGGAACCATCAGACCCACAGACCCTGTGGGATTCACCTCAAAATAAAACACAATCAAACAGAGCTGTTAATCCATCCCAGTCCTGAAAAACAGAATGTGAGAKGCTCCCTGTCTGTTTCCTCTTATATAAAGTCTGCTTTGTAATAAAGAAAAATACATCCCTGTCACTTAAATACTCTGATCAATAAACACAGTTTGAGACAATAATACAATAAAAATACTTTCAGATCTCATCCCTTCTTCTGAGTAAAATCCTCACATTATCAAAATAAAAATTAAAGAATAAAATAAAGAATGAGCGACTCTTCAAGAACATGAGGCTTTGTACAACAAACTAGWGCACTGTCCTATTTAAAACTGTACAATCAGCAGCGCAAACACCGAGTTCTGCTTCTCCTTAGAAATTGCAGGTGATCCGACAGTTCAGCACATCCTCTTCTAACCTCGGCACATTTGGAGCTTAAAGGAATCAACTTTTCCGACGTTGTGAAGAACCAGCATTCAGTTTTAAGTGAGGAGCTCGGCAGCTCGYTGGATCAGTGGTCAGCCTCACAAGAAGAAGGTCCCAGGTTTGATCCCTGGTCTTGACCTGGGAAGAGTTTACATGTTCTTCTCATGTTTCTGTGGGTTTTCTACACCATTACCTCTCACAGTCCAAAACATAGTGTAGTAGTTGTAAAACAATCCAAGAAAAATGCTCCTTTTAAAGAGACATTTCAGCCATTTTGACACAGAACTGTGTAAAATTAATGAACAAGTAGCATCTGTTGGAGCTAGCTCTTTGACCAGCTCTAGCTTGGAGAAAAGGGTTTAACAAGCTAACAGCTGGTCCTAAAGTTTCCTCAGCTGCTCATCAAACTCTTTCCGAACCTTTACAGCTGGGTTATATTTAGGTTCACTTCTGAAGTTTGATTAAAAAGCCTCATGTGGAAAAAGATGATGGCACGTTTTGAATTTGAGCTGTTTTAAAACAATTTATTTTGGTGGTTGTTTGTGTCTCACAAACTTCTTTGTGAGACATAAACAAAGCAAAAAAAAAAAATCATTGAAGATCTCAGAAGGAGAAACTGCTCTGAATCATCCTTTGGTATAATTTCCAGATGTCTGAAGGTTCATCTGATTAAATATAGGTACATAAATAAACACCACGAGAACTTCCTGCCATCGTACGGCTCAGGAAAGAGACAGTTCTGTTCTCAGAAGAACATGTCTCAGGGCAAACCAACCTGAAAACCAAAGCTGCAGTTCTCATAAAGCTGCTGCTGAAGCTGGTTGGCGGCTGTCTCCACTCAAACATTTAAAAAAAAACAGAACTGACCTAAAACAGAAACTTTTAATCTGATTTGATGTTAGTTTAAAAAAAGTTTGTATCTTTATAAAGACGGTGTCAACGTCAAACAAATCAGTGCAACTGATGTGAATCATTTTACCTCTTAATTTAAACCAAATTCACTTCAACTGTCCCACTGCACCTGAACGCAGCATAGATCTGAGCCAGTACCTGTACAAAGTCCATGAAATGTGASCACACAGACCTGTGTTGGTGACTGTTTCAGTATCTCTGACTGRCTAATGCTTCCTGTGGGAAGCACCGTCGTATCTTCATTAGATCCAGTACTGTATATCTCAGCTTTGGARGAGCTTCAGTGAAGCTCTTACAAACCCATGATGAGGAGCAGCAGCTTACAGATCAGTCCAGACCGTCTTCAAAACCTCCCTTTGCATCAAATACAGAAAATGTGAACTCAGATCAGTTTGAAAGCATAGTTCTGTGAAGGTTTCTGTTTGGAAGCCACCAGCCAGCTGTGTTAGGAAAATAACGCTGAGTGTGGTCGGGTGTTTGCTGAAACAAACTGAGTTTCAGCTGAAGATCTGATGCTGGTCAACTCTTCCCACTCCCACTGCCATACCCTGCAGGGATCATTGTGCACCCATGCTACATGCCATTACAGATAATTATAGGCCCTGTGATCAAGCTGTGCTTTACATCAATATATAACTGTAATGTGCTCGTCTTTGTAAAAATAGCTCTAATAAATAAATCTGCGTTAAAAACAGGAGATTCAATCACTGATGTTTGGGCGACCAGTGGCTACAAAAGTATAATTTAGCAGAGGTACGAAACGACTCASAGCCATTTCTAACTGATGGTTGGACGAATCTGAAAAATTCGGAATAAATACAGGTTTTATGTTTTAAGCAGTTTCACAAAACAATTCAGCCCGTCTTTATTCCACTTCGGACCTTCAGAATCCTGAATGMAGCCACGTCGAGGGACGGGAAGTCATTTCTGTGTCAAATATTTGAGGAATAACCAAATAATTACTAGAAAGATTCAAAAAATGTGTTTACTTAAACTGAACGTCCACAGCCAGGGCRTGATGTGAGCTTTCAGGGCGACTGTGGCAGAGTGGTTGGGGGAGTTGTCCTGTTCGATCCCGTTCCATCCAGCCGTCTGTTTCATTATGCCCTCGGACAAGACACTTAACCCAACTTGACTGGCATGGCAGCCCCGCCTCTGTCAGCCTGCCCCAGGGCAGCTGTGGCTACAATGTAGCTTACCACCATCACTGTGTGAATGGAGTGTAAAACACTATATAAGTTGAGACTCTTTATCATTCAGAAATAAAACAAGCTTTAACTCAGCTAAAGCGCAACAACTGCCTCATATTGATTTTTAAACATTACTACTATTACTTCATTTTTCAATTTTTAACTAAATACAGCAGCTGTGTCATCATCCATCTCGTCTGTAATCAATCTGTTTAGGCCTTTAAACCCAGTCTGCTGGTTAAACTGACAGTTTGTCTTTAATACTTGCTGAACTTTTCATATATCAGGTGTTACTGCTGTTAGCACTCTGTTAGCACTCTGTTAGCATTCTGTTAGCGCCTCACTCAGTGGATCAAAGGTGCGTCAGTGGAGAGTTAGCTTTGTGTTTTGTGAAAGTGCTTTTTAAATCTGTTTTAGAAAACTTTATTTCTGGGTTGTATTCACTCATTTTTGCCTTTTTAGTGTTTGTCAACTTTTTTTTGACGTTTCTGACAAATCTTGTTCAGAATTTTTCAGATCAGTTTACAACAATAACCGATAGGTTTACWGAATAAAAACTGTCAAACTGATAAAGGTTTGGGAAATACTCACTTTCTAATTTATTTGTTAGAAAACCCTTTAAATTCCATTTTTGTTCAAGCGACCTGTCTTCAGATAAACTCTCCTCTGCCTGTTGCCTTCATCAGAGTGTAGCTGGGACCTGAACTCTTTAACTGTCCACCACCTGGTGTGGCAGAGTGACCGAGGAGCCGTTAATAAAGGAGCCATGTTTGTCTCTTCCTTTGAGAAAATAAGTGAGGAGCTCTCCTTTRCCCTTCACAAAGATGGGCCCCCGCCTCACAAAGCGGAAGTTGTACTCCTTCAAGATGTTGTAGCAGTCCTCCACCACCTGGGGGCGACACAGACAGAAACATAATCACACAAGTTATCTGACAAAACTGGATGTAAAAAAAATAACATGCAAGTCTGAGGAAAAGACTTCATCTGGACATCCAAAAAACTCTTTAAGAAGTCTTCAGTTGATCCAAAATGCTGCTGTTAGAGTTTTAATGAGAGTTGGAAGGAGAGATCATATTTCTCCAGTTTTAGCTTCTCTCCACTGGCTCCCTGTCAAATTCAGAAGAGAATTTAAAATATTACTCCTAACATACAAAGCTCTCAACAACCAAGCTCCATCATATATTTAACATCTTATTGTTCCATATTTTCCTAACAGAGCACTTCACTCTCAGACTGCAGGTTTACTTSTGGTTCCTCSAGTTTCTAAAAGTAGAATGGGAGGCAGAGCTTTCAGTTATCAAGCTCCTCTCTTGTGGAACCAACTTCCAGTTTCTGTCATTGAGGCTGACACTCTGTCTACTTTTAAGATTAGACTGAAGACTTTCCTTTTTGATAAATCATATAGTTAGACTTGAGTTTCCAGAGTTGTTCTTCATTTCTGCTGCTATAGACTTGGACTGCTGGAGCACAAACTGAGCACATTTTTCACTCTGCTGTTGTCTTTAGCCTTCTCTACATGTTTATTGCTATTATTTCTATCATGTTTTTTCTTTGTCTTCCAGAAGAAGGCACACCTGGACCAGTCCCGGACCAGTTCTTTTGTGTTTACCTGTATCTCTTTCCTGTCCCTCAAACAGCCYGTCGAGGCAGATGGCCGCCTGCCCTGAGCCTGGTTCTGCTGGAGGTTTCTTCCTGATTAGCAGGGAGTTTTTCCTCTCCACTGTTTGCTCATGATGGGAGACTGTGATGAAGTGATTCAACGTAGCCTGCTGGTTTCTTCTTTAGATAATTCTTTTTATGTACAGTGCCCTGAGACAACGTATGTTGTGACTTGGCGCTATATAAATCCATTTTCCTAACAGAGCACTTTGCTCTCAGACTGCAGGTTTACTTGTGGTCCCTAGAGTTTCTAAAAGTAGAACGGGACTTTAGTGATATTTAAATACATGATAAATCTGACGCTCTGTGGGCTCTGAGGACAAAGGTTGTTACAAACCACTTGTTTATATCCAACAGTTAGAACTAAAAGTTCAAAGAGTGGAGTAAAACACACAGGAAGTGTGTCAGAACCGTACCTGGATGTTTCCCATCACACCTGTGGACTCCATCCGACTGGCTACATTCACAGTGTTGCCCCAGATGTCAAAGTGAGGTTTCCGTGCGCCGATGACTCCTGCTAACACCCCCCCTTTATTCAGACCTGCAGCACAGTTACAACACATGATGACATTCATGCTGTCTCACCTCAAAACTTTGAGACCATCTTAATGTTGGGCTTCAAAAAAACATTTTGTTTTTCTTTTTAGTTTACTTTACAGTTTGAAACAACTCATATACTCACTGGCCACTTTATTAGGTACACCACGCTAGTAACGGGTTGGACCCACTTTTGCCTTCAGAACTGCCTCACTTCTTCGTGGCATAGATTCAACAAGGTGCTGGAAGCATTCCTCAGAGATTTTGGTCCATATTGACATGATGGCATCACACAATTGCCACAGATTTGTCGGCTGCACATCCATGATGCGAATCTCCCGTTCCACCACATCCCAAAGATGCTCTATTGGATTGAGATCTGGTGACTGTGGAGGCTGTCCATTCTCCTCTGACCGCTGGCATCAACAAGGCATTTCCGCCCACAGGACTGCCGCTCACTGGATGTTTTTTC